TTATTTTTTACATCAGGTTCCATGGCTGCAAGGAGCCAAGACATCACCATACTGTTTTCTTGGTCCCACCTATCATGTTCAGCCGTCTCACCCTTGGGTTCCTTCACCCTTCCATTGATGTAATCAGCTTTACCCCTTGCCGTTACATAGAGTTTTACACTCTTAGCCCACTCCAGGTAGTTCAGCCCGTTTAAAGGTGTAATTGGCATGGGAAAAACCATGTTTTCACCTCCCAACCCCACTGTGCTGTGGGTTGGTGTAGCCCCTGATGAGGTTAATTCATGACTTGCCATTGAATACTACTGAAAAACAGTCCAAATATCACCCAACAGCACAGCCGCCACAATCAGAATGTGAACAACTCAGGTTTTACTCCTAGAAAGTGAGCAAAAGAACACTAAATATTGCTGAGAGCACAGGGAATACTGCTGAGACAAGAGGTTCAGTCAACACAACGTCCAAACAGGACAATAAACCAGTCCAGTAATCGGTCCAGCCCAACCAATACAGACATTACAATCTGTTTGACTTTAGTTCACACACTCTAACTATCCAAACAAACAGCTATATAGTCAAGGCATGAACCCTACACACCATTGGCCAAAGAAGGCTGAGACACACTGAAGAAAAAAACACACCTGTTCAGCACTTGTACGAAGGTGCTAATCTGAACTTGACTTCACAGCATCGAACAAAGGAGTTTGCACCAGCATCACCCTTCTCTGACTAGGGTTTTTCTGTTGTTACAGCCAGGAAGAAGGAATCACAAAGCTGCCGCCAGAAACTTCTAGGGTTTCTGCAGAACCAGCCGCCAGAAACCTGCTAGGGTTTCTGCAGAAGCTGCACGTCCAAACACTTTTAAGAACAGGACAGGTGGGATCGAAGGTCTTTTTCAACCCAGAGAACCTGCTCTGATACCATGTGGTTATTTGTGGGGATTGGGAGAGAGAGAGAGAGAGAGAGAGAGAGAGAGAGAGAGAGGTACAGTTGAGAGGAAAAAGTCACTACTGGCAGCCGCCAGTTTTCTATTTATATTAACTTCATAAAAGAGTCTGAAATTACAAGTATGCCCCTGGCGGCATATCCTAGAAATAAAATAATAAGAAAAAGGAAAGAACAAGTAACTGTAACTGTAACAGCAGCTATTAAATAAGCCTTACAACAAATACCTGTGACTTATAGATCGATTCATTTAAATATTCTCATATGCAGTTGCTTGGACTATTACTTAATATTTCAAGTGGTGACGAGGTTCTTTAATGGATAAGGATAAGCGTTTGTTTGCATTAATCTTTAATATAGACTGCCTAGACCTAATGGGTAACTAGAAAGGTTAAGTATACCTACCGAGTATTCAAAATAATTTTTAGTAATTAATCTATGAAAGTATTAGGAAAACTCATAGAATTTCTGATCAGAAATTACTGCTTTTCACTGTAGGTGGTGGTAAGATGGCTACAAGATCTAAACCCTTGCTATATATAGTGCTTTAGGGATGAAATTAAGAAATTCAAGTGGTATACAAGAAATATGAATTTAAGATAATAGTGGGTTAGTTTACCTATGTTATGGGAGGTTGCAATTCACACCTCTCCAAGGGTTGCTTGTATTGGTTTTAATTTCTTGATAATAATAAATTAATCATTTATCAAAAAATCACAATGATAGCTATAATATCTGATTGAAAAAAATGAATGGTCCCATGATTTCCCCCCATCAACTATCAAGTGCCATAAAAAATTGCCCATCCAATGATTTACCTTCTCAATGAATCCTACAACAGAAAAGTTCATAGTTGAGATCTCAGATGGAAGTAACTCTAAATAGAAATAAGTGTAAGATAAATAAAACTAAACTTACCAAATCAACTTCTTTTAATTTCAAATTCAAAATAGCTACCACCTTCCTCATGAATTTTATAGACAATCAGTACAAGCATCCCAAAGAGACGAAGGAGATGCAACCTCTAATCAATAATACCAATAATCAAATTACAATTGAACCCAATGCAAATGATCCCTATTTACACCTTGCTTGGACAAAGCATCCATCATCCCATTTGTTGATTTTCTAACCCATTGTACTCTCAAAATCATGCTGTTAGCCATTTAAACTTTTCTATTTGGGTCATTTACTAGAACACCCTCGATAGTTTCACGGATTTACTTAAACCTACCTTATAGTTTTCATTTTAATAAAATGCCCCTATAGTTTGCAACCTTTTTACTTAATCAATCTTTCACTAGAAGTGTTTGTTTTGCCATCTGAAAATAGTCACTTGATCACCTAAACTAAATGGAAAATGTTCAAGGACATGGGCCTGTGATTGTTTATTCCAAAAGTACCTCTTAGCACTTCTTTGTACAGAAAGCAAAATTGACCAAATAGAGTGGTTGCTCATATCTTACTAGGCACAAAAATGGTATTTTCATTTTTATTTTCTTTTGATTAAATTTATTCAAATGGACATTAGGGTCAAAACTGTCATTTTCTATTGTCATCTAATGGAAGGTCGATTAAGTAAATTGACTACAAACTATAGGGGTGGTTTAGTAAAACACAAACTATAGGGTAGGTTTTAGTAAATCCATCAGTATTCAACTATGACACTGCTAATTCAGCGAAGTAGTAAAAGATTTTGGCATGAAACAATGTTGGGTTGACCACTCAATATTCAACTATGATTTTGAGGTTGGGAAGATTTTGTTGGTAGTGTATGTAGATGATATTGTGATAATTGGTAGTGATAGGTTGGGGACTGACAGGTTAAAGGCCTTTCTACAAGATCACTTTCACACAAAAGATTGTAGAGAACATTGATGTGGGCCCCACAGCTGTGGTCCCACTCTGTCCGTAGGGTAGAATGTATCTAGTCACAGCTGTGGTCAATTTGTTATTCTGTTATTCCTAGTTGTTATTTATTTTTCAGTTTTATATTGTTATGTGTTAGCAGTTATGATGTAAACACCAAGGGCAGATATGTCCTTTCATGTAACTAGCATAACATATAA